CTGCTGCTGCTGCTACTACTACTACTACTACTACTACTACTACTACTACTACTACTACTACTACTACTACTACTACTACTACTACTACTACTATCACTACTATTATTATCATTATTATTGTTGCTGTCGTTGTTATCACCATCATTATCTTTATAGTTTTTCGTTCTTCTGTCGGCTCGATTGTCTTTTGGTACCGAGAACAGGAAAGAAAACAAAGTGCGACAGAAAAGCAAAGGCGTATTGCTAGTCCAGAAAAGTAATTGCTCTCGTAAATAAATGTATCATATCTTTCTGAAACAGGAGTGAGGACAGCACAATCGAATGACATCATTCGTATCTGAGATTGTGAAAACACAGAAAACAAAACAAAACAATAACTTATGGGGGTTGGTGGAGGCGGGGGTGGGGAGTGGTAAGGGTTATACTGGCTGAGACAATAATGCCAACAACGTAATTACAGAAAAAAAAAAGAAAGACATGGTACCTGTCATGTGGGTATAGTGATCATGTAGTCCAAAGTTTCTATGTGGTGATAAAGCAGTCTTGTATTTTTGACTAGTCATATCAACTGTCTGATTTCTGTTCTAAATTCACACCGTCTTGTGTTCATGAATTATGCATATAGGCCTCACTGTCTGGATCCCTTTCACTACTCCTTGAGACGTATGGAGAGCCCGATACCAATAGTTAACAGGGATATGATGACGCAATTCTCAGGTGCTCAAGAGCATGAAGACTCTATCTAGATACGCTTGTGCCGAGAAAGATGGCTTGCGTTACCAGACTTTGCCTTTGTGTCCTGAGCTCATGTGATTTTCTACTCCTTGTTAAACAACCCAGCTATTGAGCGTGCAACAAGGAGCTCACGTCCAGGAAATATTATGCAAAACGTTTTACAAACATGTGGTGTCAATTTTACCACCCCATGACAGAACTGCAGGAAACTGGAAAATTTTTCATAATTCCATAGCTCACGATCGAGTGTATGATATAAAATAGTTATCTCTGCAACGCCTGCGATTAACTCACCTGACAGCAGCCTAGCTTGCTCCAGTCGTCTCGTTAACAGTGTCTCGAAGAAGAAAAAAACTCAACATACGAGAGCGGTCAACGCCAGAGGGGGAGAAAATTTAGTCTGAGAACGGGCAATAAAACTGCCGGCTTCCTTGTGAGATGTTTGCCGGCGAGCCGAAAGGAGCAGCTCAGGTACTCCAGGCTTGTCCTGTGTTTTGAACAGGGTGTTGGGGAGGTTTGAGAGGAGGGGAAAGTAGGGAGGATATCAAGGTGTTGAAATGATTTGCAGGCCTGCTCTAACCTGGGCTGAGAGGACTCCTCCAATGTTGTTAGCCTCCAGATTTTTACGGGGACAAATTTGAAGATTTTTGTGAGGTGTTGGGAGATAGAGTGGAAACAGACACAGGAAAAAGAAGTGGAAAGGTGTTGTTTTCCCGCCCCTTTTCTACAGTAGGGTATACTTCTTTTGTTTTGTTTTGTAAGACGAAAAATGGAAGAAATGTAGAGTATTTTATTATTCTAAGTCATAAAAGTTGGGGGGG